CTAATCTTCTGCATTTGTTGATGGGAACTTAGACCATTGGAAATATGCTTATATGAGATCTTTTCTCATTCCTGACTTTTCTTATGATTTCTTATTTGAAGATTTCTTTTTAAATGTGAGTAAAACATGTGACAAGGTGCAAGAAGTACAGTACAATGAATTAATCTCAAAATTTATGCACGGTCAGTAGTGACTGCTATGCCATCGCTTGCAGCGAGTCAGAGGAGGTGAGGGGAGAGATTATGTTCTCTACGAAACAAATTTCAGTGTTTTTATTTCTGTTCCCAATTGAGAAAAATCATTAATGAAAAGCACAAAGGATTCAGCTCCAGACACAGCACTGCGTGATCTTAAGTTTCTACTGAATGAACCTTCAAACTGTAACATGTTGATTTATAACACCATACAGTGCAGAAGTCCTAAATTACATTCTGCAAGATTAATTGGTGATCAAAATTAAGGGGCTAAAATTTGGATTTGTAGCCACTCATAAGGCAGTGCTAAAGACGCTGAAGACACTGAGTGGAATGCATTATGCCTCTAACTGTTGTCTGATGGATCCTCATGACAGCTCACCTTAGTTAAACAGCCAGCTGTTAGTCTTGCTGCCATTTTCAACACTCCTGTTAGAAATCTACAGAGCCGACTTGATGTAATCTGGTTGAGGAAAACCACTTGGTATTCTAACACGGAAACGCCTTAGTCTTAAACAAGATGTCGTTTATACTATGGTGACAATCAGGCACAAGTTACATTGCTATGATAGATATTGTTACAATGCCTATGAAGGAGACCTTGACATTGTCTTATTCCTTCAACTTCCTTAACACACTCACCACCCAGACTTGGAAATATATCACCATTTCTTCAGAGTTGTTGGATTAAATCCTGGAACTTCCTCCAGAAAGGTATCGTGGGTTCCCCTACAGCAAATGGACTGCGGCAATTCAAGAAGGCAGATGACCACCACCTTCTTAACGGCAACTAGGGATGAGCAATAAATGCTGGTTCAGCCACGATGATCATATCCCATAAATAAATTTAAAAATCCATCGCTGTTCCAGCCACTCAACTCCATGTGACAGCCAGACTGGAGAGGGGGGTGGTTATTAGCGCACTCCTCAGTTACTAACTCTTTCCAACTTGCTTGCTATACAACCCTAACCACCTCCAACATGGCCCACATGGCACCTCTCGTTTAGGGGTTTACTGATGCAGATGCCCTTTAGCACTGTCATGGTGTGACTCAGCCTGCCAGTTGTTTGATGGATCTGCATGGTCCAATTTCAGAAATGAAGAATCACTTTATAAATGGGGTATTCACTTCCCACTACTAAAGATCATTCATTCAGCTGCAAGAAGGGCTCAGCACTTGCATTACTTATAGGGCCATCCATCTAACTTGCAGGTAGGGATAGGTGATTCACCTTAACTCAACATCTGGAAGTAATGCGGAGTGCTTTTGGAGGCACTATCGTAGGTTGCTGCAATCGTCAGTGAGTGTCATTGCCCCCAACAGGTAGCCAGGGACTTTGCTGATCTTTCTACAATAGTGCTTGTGAGATAGTGCCTCTGATTCTGCAACACCACAGGGAGACAAAGCAGAAGCTGCCCCGTGCCACCTTGGAGCTGAACTCTTCCATGATCCTAAACAGCGAGGAAGGCTATCTCATTGGCCAACCAAAGCATCCAGCACCTTAGCATGTAACTTCAACACTTCTGCCACCATCAGAGCGCTCACCACAAAGTTGTCAGGGAGGGAGTTCAAGGATTTTGACTTGATGGAAGTGAAGGAACAGTGATCTTGTTTTGAGTCAGGACAGAATAGCTTGGAGTGGAATTTCCAGGTGCAAGGTTTTGCATGCCTTTGTCCTTCCAGCTGGTAGGGGTCATGGGATTGGAAGATGTAGTCAAAGCAGTGTTGGTGAGTTGAGCACGTTAAGCTTAAGTCATGAGCTCACTGACTGCTGACGATTGTGGAATTTTGAGCAGTGGGAGAGGTTAAGTCTTGTGACAATGAATTCTCTGACCTTCACTAACTGTGTGAGGTCATTAGGCCTCTAGTGGCCCTACTGCCAGACCCTTGGGGCCAACTACCAAGAATTTTTCTATTCTCTCCTTAGGATGGTTCTTGAGGGCCTTCTACCATCGATTCCTTTCTTTATGATGCAAAAATTCTCTTCTTTCAATTTTAACCACCTTGGCCCCTTGCATTGCATTTGTAAACCTGGCAACGCTCTCTCTGCCCTTGTGTTTTATTTTCTTCAATTAGAAGTGCAGCAAAAGCGTTCATCATTAGCTTCCTGTGCGATGTGGTTTCCTTTTAAGAGAGACAGACTTCAGACTAATTAGTACAGTCAGGTCATATGGGATTCAGGGTGAGTTTGCCAATTGGATTTATATTTGGATTAACGGCAAGAGACAGAGTGGTGGTGGAGGGTTGCTTTTCGGACTGGAGGCCTGTCACCAGACGTATTCAACAGGGATTGATTCTGGGTCCTCTTTTGTTTGTCATTTATATAAATGATTTGGATGAGAATAGAGAAGGCATGGTTAGTAAATTTGCAGATAACAGCAAGGTTGGCAGCAGAATAGACAGTGAAGAAGGTTTTCTACGATTACAATGAGATCTTGATCAAATGGGTCAATGAGCTGAAAAATGGCAGATGAAGTTCAATCTGGATAAATGCAAGGTATCGCACTGGTATCACAAACAAGGGTAGAGCTTATACAATTACCAGTAGGGCCTTGGGTAGTGTTGTAGAACTGAGGGATCTAGGGATTCGGGTACATAATTCTTTGAAATTTGCGTCACATACAGACAGGGTGGTTAAAGGAAGACATTTAACACACTTGCCTTTATTGACCAGTCCTTTGAGTATAAGAGTTGGGAAGTCATGTTGACGTTGTACAGAAAATTGCTGAGGCCTCTTCTGGAACATTGTGTCCAGTTCTGGTCACCTAGTTATAGAAAGGATATTATTAAGCCAGAAAGGGTTCAGAAGAGATTTACCAGAATGTTGCCGTGTATGGAAGGCTTGAGTCATAAAGAAAGGCTGGATAGGCTGGGACTTCTTTCACTGGAACATAGGAGGTTGAGAGGCGATTTTATAGGAGTTAATAAAATAATGAGGGATATAGGTCGAGTTAATGGTAGTTGTCTTTTCCCTAGGATGGAGGATTCCAAGACTATGCAATACACTTTTAAGGTGAGAGGAGAGAGATTTAAAAAAGACATGAGGGGCAAAATATTTCACAGAGGGTGGTTCCTGTGTGGAATGAACCTGCTGAGGAAGTGGTGGATGTGGGCATAATTACGTTTAAAAGACATTTGGATAAGAGTATGAATAGGAGAGGTTTGGAGGGATATGAGCCAGGAGCAGGCAGGTGTTTAGTTTGGGATTATGGTCAGCATGGACTGATTGGACCGAAGGATCTGTTTTCATGCTGTATGACTCTATGACTCTGTTAAGAGCAAGCCATTTGCGCTGTTTGCGAACTCAGCCCTGCCCCCTGCTGAGGACTCAAGTAAACAGCAAGCCCCAATGTGACAGATGTTGCAACCACTTAGATTAGAAGGCAGCACAAAATATGGGCTGCGAATTCTATTCTCCTCAACCAACAAATGTTGTGGACCAATTTCAGTCTCCAAAGTTCCATCTGTCCCATTCTGTTGGTGATGTTATTGGAATGCAATTATTGACTACAAGAAGTTGATAACAGACGGGATTCAGGAGTGCGGCAAACCAGGGTAAACCATCTGCCAAACCTCCCTGGCATTATTAACATTTTGCAACTGTGATTCCTGTCTAAAACTGGCAGGAATGATGTTACTACCAGTGGGTGGGAATTAAGATTAGCAATTGGGAGAGATCAGGTGCCACAGGGGATCCACAACATTGATCATTGATGAGGAAGTGAAGATGGGAAGGAAAGGTTTGGGACTGTCAAAAAGTCTTCAACTGGGAGGTGAAGGGTTTATTAATAGGGACAGAGAGTACAAGAGCATGGAGATGATATTGAACTTGTACATGACACTTGCTGGAACTGGAGAATTGTGTACAGTTGTGGAGGCCACATTATAGGAAAGATGTGAATGCATTGGACTGAATGCAGAAGAAATTTACAAGAATGGTTCCAGGAATCAGAAACTTCAGTTATTAGAATAGAATGAAGAAGTTAGGACTGTTCTTCTTGGAGAAAAGAAGGCTGACAGGTGACTTGATCAAGGTTTTCAAAACCATGAGAAACCTGGATACAGTAGATAGGGTGAAACTGTTCATGCTCATAAAAGAAGGAAGAACAAGATGGCATATATTTCAGGTGATGTGCAAATGAAACAAGGGAGAAAGAAGAGAAAACTTTTCCACACGGTGAGGTATTAGGGTATGAAATGTACCATGTGGAAATGTAGTGGAGCCAAGTTCAATTGAGGCGTTCAAAGTGACATTGGATGATTATTTGGAAAGAAATTGTGTGCAGGGAAATGAGGGAGAGGCAGGAGATTGGGACTAGGGAATAGAATTGGTGCAGGCCCGATGGGCCAAATGGCCTCCTTTTGTGCCATACCAACTCTGCCATTCCAAACAATTTCAGATCAATCATTTTTTTCCCATCAGCAAAATGGTTCTGATAGTTTTTATTTTTGAAAGCTGGGATCAAGCTCTTGCCGTGTTCCAGCACTCGATAGCTTTTGCAATCTTTTCGCAATATGTTCCTACTTGAACCCGAGCGAGTCACAGTCACCTGAACAGTTTGTTCACGACCTTTAGGTATATAAAAAAAAATTAACCTACATCCCATATCACTGGCATCCCTTAGCTTCGGGCTATCACCACTGACAAAGCTTTGGGCAAAATAGCAGACTGTTTTAATATAACAGCAGCCAGGTTTTATTACCCGGTAAAGTAAGTGGGGTTGATTTGCCAATTTTTTTTCTCTTGCAGCTAGTTAAACGGGTGTAACTCGCAGTCTGTAAAAGGGAAAAGGCCTTAAACGCTGAACATGAACAACTGGGCAAAAGTATTACTTCTCTTCTTCATTCATGGCACCCTTAATGCTGAAAGTGTCAGAGCCACAGGAAAAGGTAAGGGCACCAAACCATGTTTCTACTCAGAGTAATTTGGAGACAGTAAGGACTGCAGATGCTGGAAGCTAGCGTTAATACAGTAATTTGGGCAATTGCAAATAGTTATGGAGTAACTGCATTGCAAAGCGAATACCACATAATTTATTCCCTGGGTGGAATTTCTGTGAAACACAACTAGGAAGTTATCAGAGACCACTGCAGTTGCTGCATGCATTTTCTAATTGTGCCATCTGGTCTTAGTGGGGGACACAGATATTGGTTTTCTGTAGCATGATAACTGAAGCATTCCTTATATTTTTTAGCTCAGGCAGACCATTGTTTCTGATAATGGGTCTTGAAAGGCATTTTACCATAAGATATTTAATGGAGTTTCAGCACAATATAAAGGAGACAGTTAAATTCGCGACATTTGCAACGTGTGTTGCAAATGTACTGATTGTATTGTTTAATGGTGCAGAAACAGAATTAGTAGTGGCTGATATATAACCAAAGATATCATCACTACTTTTCCCATTTTCAGAAAACACTTCTGCCTTGATATAAAAAGTTGTCCATCTGTTTCATTTCTTTCCCACTCATCAGGTCTTGTGCAAACACGAGTACACTATGTTAAGTGAGAGGGCAAAGATCTGGCAAATGGAGTACAATGTAGGAAAGTGTGAAATTGTTCATTTTGCCAGAAAGAATAAAGAAACATACTAGCTAAATGGTGAGAGAATACAGAGCTCCTGAATGTGGATACCTGGATGACCTAGTGCATGAACTGCAGAAGGTTAGTATGCAGATACAGCAAGTAATCAGAAAAGCTAATAGAATGTTCTGGTTATTGTGAGAGGAATTGAATGCAATTGAGTTCATGCTTCAGTTATACAGGGCATTGGTCAAACTGCATCTGCAGTACTAATACAATTCTGGTCACTGTACCTGTAGTGATTGCAATGAGGCTAGCCAGTGGGACCTCACAGAATATGAGTTCTCTGATTGGACCAGATAACAGCCCCAATCAGGGAGCCCTGGATGACAGATATAAACAGGAGTGTAAGCAGTTTTGTACACTCTGAGAAAGCCAGACCAGTGTCAAGTGCTATGCATGTGTAAATAAAGGGTGACTTGGTGACAGGATTCCAGCCTCTGTGGAGGTATTTCAGTACCTACAGAATAATATTAATGCATTGGAAACAATTCAGAGAAGGTTTGCTAAACATTACTTTGAATGAGTGGATTGCCTCATAAGGAAAGGCTAGACAGCCTAGATCTGTATCCTCTGGAATTTAGAAGAGCAAGAGGCGACTTAATTGAAATACAAAATCATGAGGGAACTTAACTGGGTGGATGTCGAAAGGCTGTTTTCCCGTGTGGGAGAATCTAAAACTAGGATCATAGTTTAAAAATAAGGGATTACCCATGTATGGCAGAAATGAGGAAGCATTTTTTTCTCTGAGTGTTGTGAGTCTTTGGAATTCCCTTCCTCAAAAAGAAGAGGATGCAGAATTTTTAGTTATTTTTAAGGCAGAGGTAGATAGATTCTAATTACCAAGTGGATCAAAGTTATTAGAAGTATGCAGGAATGCGAACTTTAGGTTAAAATCAGATCAGCTGTGATTTTATTGAATAGTAAAGCAGGCTGGAGGGCCGAGTGGCCTACTCTTGTTACTTATTCGTGCAGGACAGTCGCTTTGGGCGGTAAAAAGAAAAAAAAAGTAACAATACTTTAAAAAATTTAAAACGCATTGGAACATAAACACCAGGCGGGTAACTGAGCAGCCAAGTTCAAAGTATAATCAACACTCACCATCATATGACCTTGCTTCCAGCGAAATGCGAGCCGACCAAATTCAAACTGCTCTAAACCGTCAACTGAAGCCAGGAGAAAATGGCGGGACGGGTTTTTGGCGGGCTGCGATGGGATTGGCAAGATTAGAATTTCATTGAACGATTGGGCACGAGCCGAGCAGCAAGAATTAGTCCTAGTACAATGGGCTCGAGCAACGGGTTTTTTGATGGCTTTGGTTCCAATTTGGTGGGGCAGCCATTTTTTTTTACAGTTGACTGCAAACATTCTCGCATTGTTTCTATTAACGACTGCGGCTGGAAGTTAAAGAGCAGATTTAACCCACAGATCGCACGTTACTCGGGTGAGTTCACAGACACAGGGAGTTTGAATTCCCAATGCAAGTTCACCAACTATTAGCTTTTTAAGTGTCTATAAGTGTGAGGCTGGAAAAGCACAGCAGGTCAGTCAGCATCCGAGGAGCAGATGGGTCTTAGTTTCAGGCTGAAACCCTTACTATTTGCATTTCACACAGGACCAACTTCACTTCCTAAGTAGATTAAGTTGGATATTTACTCAGTACAAAGATTATCTGTGCCATATTCTAACATTACCTATATATTTCATAACTAATCTTAGTAAGGACAGAGCCAACAACTCCCTGAGGGGTTTTCGCACACAGGGAGCTGACGATCTTTCGACTTAACTGTTATTATTGTTGTTTCTTTGAGCGTTTCTCTTCACGAGGCCTAGCAGGTTTTCTTGAGTTATAGACACAAACCCGCCTCACTAACTATCTATCCCACCCCTAATTTCAGATACTTGCTGCATTCTCCTACTCGCTGTGGGCAGAAGAACCTAGAATAGACTGGCATCCCTTGGTGCCAGTGCCATTTCGAAACACTGGCCTTAAACCCGGCAAGCATTGGCAATTGAAATTGCCCTTCACTGTCAATATAATTGCACAGCAGCCACAAACACACATTTGTCGTGATGTATAGGTGGCACGGCTAATGCTTTCATACACATACAAACCACTTACTTACCCTAATCACTGTTAACTACCAGGCTACCGAGCTTACCTGCTCTTAGTCACAACCCATACTGACGCCCTATCAAAGTCATTACTTGGAGTCATAGAGCTGTACAGCACAGAAACAGAACCTTTGGTCCAACTCGTCCATGCCAACCAGATATCCTAAATTAATCTAGTCCCATTTGCTAGCTTTTGGCCCATATCCCTCTCAACTCCTCCTATTCATACATCCATCCAGATGTCTTTTATAATTGTACTAGCCTCCACCACTTCTTCAGGCAGCTTGTTCCATACAAGCACCACCCTCTGCATGAAAAAATTGCCCTTAGGTCCATTTTAAATTTTAAAGCTATGCCCTCTAGTTTTGGAAATGCCCACACCTGGGGGAAAAGATCTTGGCTATACACCCTATCCATGCCCGTCATGATTTTACAAACCCCTAGGGTCACCCCTCAGCCTCCAATGCTCCATGGAAAGTAGCCCCAGCCTATCCCCTAATGCATACTGTCGCCCAGCGTCATGTTGTTGCGCAATGAGCCATTCCTGCAAACAAATCCAAAGATTGTGGTTTAATTAAAAACTACAAAGAGGAAACAGGGGAAAAAAAAAACAAAGTTGCATTCCTCTCCCAGAATGCCAACTATTTACTTGCATTAAGAGATAACAAGGTGTAGAGCTGGATGAACACAGCAGGCCAAGCAGCATCAGAGGAGCAGGAAGGCTAACGTTTCGGGCCTAGACTCATTTACTTGCACTGTTGACCAGCAAAGCTTTTGTTTTATTCGTTCATGGGAATGTAGGCATCACAGGCTAGAGTCATTGGAGTCACATGTAGGTAAGAATGGCAGATTTCCTTCCCTAATGGGCATTAGTGAACCAGATAGGTTTTAATTACAACTGATATGGCCCTTTAATTGATATGCTAAAGTCAATTAGCATTAGGCTACTATTTATTCCAGATTTTTTTTATTCAAATTTCACCATCTGCCATGGTGGGACGCAAACCCATGACCTCAGAGCATTGGTCTGGAGTTCTGGATTGCTGGCACTGTGACATTACCACTAAGATACCACCTCCTCACATGTGCATCTTACAGTCTAGAACTGTTGGCTGCCCCCAGCTCATTGCCTGCTGTCAGTCAGATCTTCCCTGGCTTGTAGCACTCAATGCACATGAGCTCAGGCATGCTCAAGGTGAGCTTCCTCCTTCCCATTGTCCTCATCTACCTCTGTCAGTTCCTCAGCATCCATCACATCCCCTTGTTGCCTGTCCCAGATGTGCAGAGCATGGCTGATATTGCACATTCATCCAGAGTATACTGCAAGGCCCCACCAAGCAGCAGAAACATATCCTCAGGTGGCCTATTGTCTGCGCCACCACAGCCCTGGTCAAAGAATGGATAACATTATATCTGCACTCAGCCTCAGCCCGGGGTTGTGCAACAGTGCTAATAGCCAATGTTGCAGTGGGCAGCCCTTATCCTTCAGTAACCTGCTTTGCAAGGTCTCTGCCCCTCAAATGCAACAGAAGTACAGGAGTTCCCATGAATATAAGAGTCATGGCAGCTGCTGGGATATTGGGCACAAGCCTCCAAGAAATGGATCTGGTGATCACAGATGACTGGCACATCGATGGAATTGGAATCCCTTCCTGTTGATGAACTTTACTGTGTTGTGGTATGGGCCTCTCACTGTGATGTGTGTGCAGTTTATGGCACCATGCACCTGAAGGAAGCTGGCAATGCTGTCAAATGATAAGGGTGCAGCACTGATCTCATCATGGGGGAGCAGTATGAACCAGTGTGAGCTGGCACAAATGGCATCAGTTACTGTCTTCTGCATTTGTGAGAGATGAGTGAGGGATTTCACATAGATGCTCCCTGAGGAGGAGCCAGTGCATATAATTTCAACCAGCAGTCTTTTTCAAGGTTTCCGGCAAGCACGGCCACTCACTCCCATTTACCACAATCCAGCCCTTGGCACAGTTCAGTCCAGGTGTCCTGGGACATATGGAACTCGCTTTGACACCACACCTTGCTCATCCAAACCAAATGGTTTTGAGGACAAAAGACTGGTCCTCCTATGTCTCTGAGGGGCCTGCATCTGAGACCTCTTCAAGTGCTTCCAAGCCAAGTAGCTGCTACTCTGGAATTCGCTGACACATCTGCGTTTCCTCCATTTCCCTCTGTC